CCCCCCCNCCCCTGCGCTCCCCCCCCCCCCGACTGCTTTTAACTCTTACGTCGATTAATAAATAAATAAATAACAACAAAATTTGAAGAAAACATTGTAAGATGTAAAACAAAATTACATAATAAAACCGCTTTTGTATTGGTTGTCCTTATATTATAGAGTGGCTATATATATATACTTGCTTTTCGGCGGGGGCCCTAAAGTTTCACTTAGACAACTTGCCTGTGAATTGCGTCACATAATTTGTTTATTATGATAATATATTCGTATCATGATGATAGTCGAAGAAAGTATGGTACTATGATTAGGTATAATATGAACCGACAATAATGGAAATAATAATGTAAACCGGTACCTAATATAATAATATAATAATATATATGTAAACTAGAAATTTAATAAGTTGATAAATATAATTAATAAGTATTGTTGTAAATTTCTTAGACCTATGCCTTTTGAACGTTCATTTAATTTTTTTTTTTTTTTTTGTATGCATACAAATATTATTTATTATACAATCGATAATTTTAGACTCGTGAGTTAAGGTAGGTAATGAAATTTATAAAAAAAAAATAAAATAAATACTCTACTTTTAACTAATTATTAAATTATCTATTATAAGGTTGGTGGGTAGGTAATATGATCTGTTGAAAGTCATAGAAACGCTACTGTTGTCAACTGAATACCTACCTATACCTACTAACCATATTGTACTATATTATCATAGTTCTCAACCGGCGGTGGCGCGCGAAGAATATTGTTACTTAATACACTTATTGTACAACAAATGGTAATATTTTCATTTTTATCATGTAAATTGAAGGTCCTACAAAACTAGAACCACTATCCATATATTTTCCACATTTTTTTGATAAGCAGAACGGACGGTTCGTGAACGGTTGTTCATAATTTGTTGGCGGTACTTGGATATAAAAAGCTGAGAACCATATTATCATCACTTATTAGTTCTGTTGTAATAATGTGATTCAAATTTAAAAACACGTGCAATAATTCTATAGGTAACTAAATTCTAAATTATTATGTCTGTATAGTTCCGTCAGTTCACCGATTGGTCACTTCACATCTATGGTGTATTCTAAATTACAGTTTTTTTGTTTTGTTTTTTTTTTTTTTTTATGAAATAATAAGTGAAATTATTTAATTTTTTTCGTCGTAACATAACAATAAGAACATTAAGAACAATGTGGGGTTATTTTTCTGTAAACAAAAAAAAAAAAAATCCACAAGGAGAAATTCCGACTGATGACAATGCGATGGTGGAAAATTCGGACGCAAATTGAGGTAATTTAAACAACATTATATTGAAGATGATATTATTATTATAATTTAACAATTCAGCTACCTTGTAATATAGTTATGATAATATACTCTACAGTAGGTATAGCTATTATTGTATAGACAAAAATAACATAAAAAATAAATAAGTAAAAACTAATACCGTATATTTCACTAAAATGGTAAAACGAAATATTATACCGGATGAACTTGCTAACGGCGCATTTAAGATTTTTCCAAGCAGGAAGACGTCAAATTTGGAAATTGTGTCACGTTATATATATTTAGGCTAAAAAAAATTTTTTTTTTTTTAATACATATTTTTCTAGGTAATCTACAATTCTGCCCTAAAACTATCATTTGAAATCAAAAAACTAATATTATATTTCAATTTTTTTCATATTGTATAGGTAATGATTCAGATAGGTTTTGTTTTAAGCAAGATAATTTATACTAATGTTATTTTTCGATTTGTCCAGTGGTTGAGAGTAGCACGCTAATTTTAGCGTCGATACAGTACGCGCAACGTAGTGAAATAATATAGCGCGTTAAAAACTCACAAGTAGCAAAAATTATCACTACTCGATAGTAATTATTAAACGCCGAATGTTTTGTGATTATTTATTAAATAAAATTTCGAATTTTAATTTTCAAAAATGATGTTAAAAAATCACGCGTTATTTGCAACTTAAAGTATTGCCATTGAGTAATGGAACTCGATGTTATTACCTTGGTGGACATATAGAACCATAAACATGGTTATCGATCAATTATACTCGCAGTAATAGTAAGTATAATGTTATAGAAAAGTGTTTTTTTTTTAACTACAGAATTTAAAAAGTTTATTTTTATTGTTTATCACATACTTTAATCTATTGAAGAATATTTCTATGAGAGAAGTTTGGTTTTGTTTTAATACAAATCTCGATTTGGACAATTTTACATAGAATCGTAGCAACTAAGTGACGCAAACACGATGTTGGTTCATGAACAGCGTTCGCTGATCGCGTTTGCGAAAACGTACCTTAAGACAGTTTTTAGGTTTGATGAAAACACATCTAGCACAATTTTTTTTTTTTTTATACTAGTGCTACTCTACGTTTATCGAGTAAGTTATTACTAGTAACTTATATATATACTACATATATACACTTGTAACTAGCGCGTAGGGAATAAAAATGAAAGAAAGTTTTAAAAAAATATTGCAAAAAAGTAGTGTGCTATAATTTTAGAAAAAAAAATTAGCAGTAGCTCAAATGGGTTTATACTCATTCGATAGTATATGAAAGAAACGTATCTATAATGTCCGTACATTGTGGGTACGTTTTTTTACGGATATAAAAAGTAATTTAATACATTTTTTTTTTTATAAGAGTTTTTTAGTTCAAATTTAGATGAAAATCGTTCAACTCATATCGTTTCAAAATATATTTAGTAGAATTTTCGCTCAGAATTGTTTTTTGTTATTAATGATTTATCGTTGCATACGGATATAAATTAAATTACTAAAATCATACCTACAATAGTGGTACATCCACCAACGGTATATCAAATCTTTTTTAAGAATTATATTATGTTTGTTACAATTTGGAATTGAAAATGTAAATTGTCCCTAAAAATTACTTATAAGAACATAGGAGTACTAAATTACACATTTTGAGTCTATTTTCAAAATTTAAACCCTTGCAGTGGGCGCATGTGCAACAAAACTCATATTTTCTCAAATGGAAACACAAATTTCAAGACTAAATTCAGAGGCGTAGTTATGGAAATGGGCTAAGGAATTTAACCCCCCCCCCTATTTCTCATTACTTCCTACGTATACGATGTTGTATTATGTTTAAAATCGGTATATAAATCATACAACTACGTAGAATTTGTAAAATATTCACAAACATATTTCGGAGAGGGTCATAACCCCAAATCTCCCATCTTAGTTGCGCCACTGATTATACTTTTAGTCAAATAAGTACCTAACTAAATAGTTGACTATACAAAAAGTTAAAAATGTTGAATTTCAAAATCTCACTGTGTCGTTAGTGAGATAGTAATGATAATTTATACTTGAGTACTCAACTACACGGTGCGTTTTACTAGCAGATAAGCAAATATTAGTTTACTATTGTTTGCTAGTAAAAAATCGTCTTGTCAACGAACTTTTAGATAAGTACCTATTAAAAAATTTGTTCAACGCCGCGTTTAGCTGCAACGGTGTTATTTTTCCCATTCAATATGAATTTCACAGCACGGCGAGTTACAAAACGAATTAAACAAATGTTTGGCAAGACCTGTCACAACGATGCATAATACTACAATAATAACAGTAATTATATCGGTAATAGGTACGGTAAACAATTAAAATCGCGTGTCGCGTTTCATTTCCTTAAATGCCTACGAATTTGTCACGTTGACACCGATACATAATGTACATATGAAGAAAAAAAAAAAAACCGAAACATAATGCACATATGAAAAAAAACTGAAAGTGAGACAATATAATATACCTACGTAATATTTGTTGTAACAGTACATCACGGCTATAATATACCTGCACGCAGTTACTAATATGATATACCTACCATTAAATATAATTGAATTTCGAAATAATAATTCCGCCGGAGAAATTGGTTTCGCCCGAATTAATTAAAAAAATAATAATAATACATATTATCTCGTTTGATCGTTACAGTTCGGTTTTACATTTCAAGTACGTTATTGATTTACACCCATACAACACATAATAATATCACCCATTAGTGAACGCGTGTTGAATTCATCATTCAATTCGGTTTTTTTTTTTTTTTTTTTATTACAACACGCAGAAAACATAAATCACACGCGAAATATATAATAAAAAAACCGGGCTATTTCGCATGTCGGTGCAGCCACTGTTGTAGGTGAGAAGTTTGGAACGTAGGTAGTAAAGAAGAAATTTAATGTATATCTGTAAGCAACGATAAACCATTGTTAATGGAAAACGATTCTGAGCGAAGTTCAGTAGATAGCAGTGGCGTATCCAGTTATATTTTTCGGAGGAGGCGTTTTATTGAAAAAATGATTATATATGAAATGAAAAACTAGTTTTCATTAATTCATTAGTTTTACTTTTTCAAAAAAATTAACAGATTATTAAAAAAAAAAAGTGTACAGTTTTAAATAATAATATAATAAAACGTCGTTTTGAATGTAGAACTAACTTATAAACTCATGTTCATTTTTCGTTTTGGTGTATTCGCCGACTCATCGATGACATCATCAATGTTCACGTTCATATCACGATGTATGTTTAATTAAGCCAAACCATTTAAACGATTTTGACCCGTTGAATTTCTTAAATACGTTATTTGAACGATTGTACAATTGAAAATTCAATTGTTTTATCGTAGTATACGTTGGTTCGCCGCACATGAGGAAACTGCATCTATTCAATTTGAAATAGGATCCAAAGCATGTAAAATAGCTGACTGGAGTTCCTCAAACAATTTTACTGCATCGTGACGGTCAACCCATCGAGCGGCACATAATGTTTTCAGCTTAAAACGTCTTATTTCTGAAAAATTAGCTACTATTGATATTTGCAAAATATTTTGCCGTTTTGGATAACCGAATATTTTGTTACAACCAAATTTAAACAGTGGACACTACAATACAAGTATAACGATCCTGGATACTTATCGCGAATATATTTTTGAACGCCATTATACTTACAAACTCATGGCTGCTGCGCCGTCATACCCTTGACCAGTTAAATAATGCAAGTTGAGTCCCAAATCGGTCATAGGTTTTAGAATTATATCAGACAGTCTTTTACCAGACATATCATGAATTTCGATAAATTGCGAGAAGTCTTCTTGAATTTTTTTTTCAAACACGTCTACATAACGAACACATAATGACATTTGTTCTTTATTTGAGATTTATTGGCAGATGAAACAACGCCAATATGGTGAATGATTTAGCATTATTTATTTTGTCTACTAATTGCTTTAAAATCAATTTGTTATACACTGATATAATTTCGTTTTGGATCGTTGGACTTAAATATGTTGCGTTTTTTTTTAGTCGTAACTACACGATTTTTAAGCGTATTGTCGCCAGAATCTATTCTAAATCGAGTTAACACCCTAAAACTCCCTTGATTGTGAGCACTACATTCTTCTTCGATCACAGAAAGTACTCTTGAATCCCTATGACCTCTTATCGGAATGCCTTGCTGTCCACAAAATAAAACACTTTTAATAATTGAACGAAGGCGAGCCCTCTTTTCTTAAATTTCTTTTTTTAATGCTTTATTTATTTGTGCATAGACTGAATCGATAAAAAAAATATCGTTTTAGGATTTTTTTTTTATTAATTTTATAATAAGCGTTCAAACAGCGCGTACCGCCGACTAGTGAGTACTGACTGGTGACAACTTAAGTCACAATTCACAATAAAAAAATAATATTAAACACATTGATCGTAATAAAGACAAAATATAATACTATTAACTAAATAGTATTAATTGATTTAACATTTATTTTTATTTTTTATTTTTTTTATTACATTTCTCAGACCGATTTTCGAATGACTCACGATTGTATTTATAATTGTTATTTATTTTAGTTTAAGATCATCCGATTAAAATACACGATTTGCGTCCTAGATTTTCCCGGGCCGCAACGCGTGTGCTCCCGATTCGAGAGTGCGCCCGGAAATATCACCGATAATAATATCCGATTACCGATCCGAAATGGAAATCGCTCGTTACATCGGGGTGTTCGAAAGGCACAGGTGCGCCCATACACTTACCCGTTGTATTGTGCGGTTAAATCGATGCCATTGTCGTACGGAACGGTATCATAGTCAAGGGCCCCCCCCCCAAACAAAAAACAACGGCATAACGCGCCGATTTGTTTGAACCGCGAAGAAAAACCATACCATCGCGTCACATTATAACAGGCGCGTTTGTCACTCATGTTTATTTATTATTACTGTGATCGTCCGACAATATCTCTGCGGTGCGTGCACCACCGACCGTAGGTGTACCATACCCAATAATATTCTATGCGGTTTAGCGCTGTCCGTATGCGGCCGTCTCGCCGTTTCCGTGGTTCTCCTCGCTACGGATGCTCGTTCGTTCGTGCGATAATAGAATGTCCATTTAATTATCGAGCAGACGGAGCGTAGTCCTCGTGATACGGATCGCGATAATGCGGTATGCATACTACTACTACTACTACTACTACTATTATTATTCTAATCTGTGTGGCTTTGTCTCGCCAGCATTATAATAACACACATACACCTATTACAATATGTGGCGTACGTAGGCACCCGTAGGTGGCGTATTCACCGCTTTTGTACACGCTCTCTCTCCGTGCACCGCAACAACAAAAATAATAATAATTCATCGACCGCGTCATAAATCACAATATTATTTCATTCGCAATTCCCGAAAGGCGTATGTAACTGTTGTTTCATGGGCGCAACTAGAGTAGAAAATCCGAGGGGAGCTGACGTTTCTAATTCTAAATCGAACTGTGCACACGTCACCGCCCCCCTCCTATGGTTACTCAGGAAATATCGACGTCGATTCGATACATCAAAACGCAATTAAATGAACGTACACCTTTAACGTCTTATTTTCTCAGTGGCGCCCAAACTATCCCTCGAGTGTAGCAGTTACTACACACCGTGTTTTGGGTGGGTGGGTGGGTGTTTCCGGTAATTGGGATTTGGCACAGTCGAGTAGAATGGGTCTAGACATTCAAGGCAGGCAATTGGTTCTAGGGGTCGGAAAGTGCACGTTTAATATCTATATAGAGTTTTTCAGGTGGGTGGTGATTTTGAATTTCAAATACCGCCACGTCATAAAAATATAGTTTAGACGCCGCTGCATGCGGATGTCTATCTACTCAATAAATGAAGTATCAAAATTACACTATTTAAAACTTAAACAACAATATTATTAATTTATATTAATAGAACGTAACGAGTCTATCTGTTTTTTGAAAAACGATCGACAATGCATTAGGCCTTGATTAAATTCATAGACTTGATAATATTATATTGCGCAAACGAAAAAATAATGTCGAACCCCCACCCCCCTCCTCACCACCGAGCAAAATTTCCCGATTTCCTTCTGCGATAAAATATTCGTCTTCTTCTACTAAAAGTTTTACTGTCTTTGAAAAACATTTGCTGCTTCTACAACAATCTTCCATCTTACTGTCCGTGCTACCTATTACTGTAACATCCCGTGCGCACTTCTTTAAACCATCATTGATCCTGACTATCCAGCGTTGTCTAGGACGACCCCAAGAAAATTTCCCTTTTATCATCTCTACCAAATCTGTCTTTTTAAATTCCATTAGACCTTCAGACATGGCCCACCCATTCGACTTGTTTACTCGCGAGTAGAGACCGGATTTAATTGATATTGCAATTTTTTTTTTTTTTGCAATAAAGATAAATCAGATCTGATTGAATATACAACCGATATATAATACAAATATTCTGCCTATTTAATTGTATAATGCAATTTTTTTCAATTTTCCCACGTTTTTAAATCATAGGCGTTTATTGTTCGTCTGGAATTTTCTAGAGGCTTGTAATGCCCAGCGAGCGATAAGCGTCTATATGGTGATAATTGAAATCAACGTACAGCGATTCGTGTGCGTTTACCCGTTGGTACCTTAGTACCTATTTCTTTTGATCGGTTTGACCGCACAGTGAACGTATTTCACGTAATGCCTAAAATAAAATCTACTTTAAAAACTAAAATGTCTAATTGGATTTGGATTGCTCCTTACAATGAAAATAAAGAAGTGTTTCCATCAGATGGAAAAGTTATATGTTGTCTCGCGTGTAAAAAATCTGTGTCTGCTGAAAAAAAATATCTATTAAATGATCATCGTTCCAAAACAAGTAAGTTTTGTATTTTATGCTCATACTACACGTAATATACTACATGTTATTTCGAAAATACGTGTGTATTTTTTTTAGTTCAACACATCAACGCGTTACAAAGGAATAAAGAAAAAAAACAGCTTTTGATTACTTCTCAAAATTCGAGTAGTATAAATGTAATTTTTGAATATTTACGTAATGCATTTGTTACTGTAAATACTCCTTTGCATAAGCTGGACAATCATGTGTTAAAATCATTTTTGGATAAACATACTGGCAAATTAATTCCGGACGAAAGCACTTTAAGAAAAAATTACATACTAAATATTTATAAAAGCGTTATGGACCAAATAATTAGTGATAATGGAAATAATTAAGTTTACATAATTGTTGACGATACAACCGATCCAAGAGGTTGATCCATCATTAAATGCTGCACTTTTCTATGCAAATAATTTTGAAGAGTTTAAAAACATGATGGAAAATTGAGCAGGTGATGCTACAAATGTCGAAAAGATGAAACAGCTTGTACAAAATAATGCAGGTAATGTGGTTTAACATTAATAAAATTACACTTATCCCAAGTTATCCATGAATCTTAAAAATTTGGAATAATTTAATAGTGAACTACTGAAAATCACGGATATTTTTAGAAAAATTGAAGATATTTTAACAAATATTCCTAATCCAAATGGGGAAAAAATTTAAAAAAAAATGTATGTATGTAATTAAAAAAAATGAAGGGTATAAAACTTTAGTCTTACTAGGAAAACAAGTCAGGTAAAGCAAATGTTGATTTAGATATAACGCCTACTTTATTAAATTGTTTTAAATATGCACCAACAACTAGTGTAGACGTAGAACATAGTTTTTCTTTGTACAAACATATTTTAAGTAATAGAAGATTTGATTTTAATAAAAATAATTTAGACATGCATATAATTATAAATTTTATTTAAAAAAAGTAACATTTATCTAATTTTTTTTTATATAACTTTTGTAACTAATTTTATAGTGCAATTTATTATGCAATTAAATTCAGTCTCATGAGATATGCATTAATACTGAGTTTCTGGTATATATATATTTGTTCCCCTTTTCCATTAGTTCTTCTGTACACTCCAATCTCTAAAATAGTTTCATATATTCTTCTAACTACTGGTCTCTCAAAACAAGTTATTTTTCCCTCGTCTCCTTAAGTATTCAATCAGGTTTAACACGTGTGTGTTAAAACTGATTGAAGAAAACTCAAGTACAAGTGTTCTTTTTATTTCCCAGAAGAGAAGTTTAAACTTGAAAAATTTGTCTAAAGCATAATAGTCTTTGTTAACGGCAGATATCTTTAGTTTAATTTATTTGTACAAATTGTTATATTGATTTAAGTTTATCCCAAGATATTTAAAATCTTTAACTTGTTGAAAGGTGTAATTTTCTACAACCAGGTCCAAATCGTCTAACTACATAACACGGCATGACTAAATAGTTTGTTTTCTTCAGTTTTATTATCAGACCCATTGCTTTAATTAAATCATTTATTCATGTCACTACTTCATGTTGCATATTTTCTATTATAACAATATGATCTGCGTAGACAAGAATTGTAAGCAAAATATTATTGTACCTAAATGTAATTTAAAAATGAATGTTTATATTTTATTGAACTTACAGTTAATGTCAATTTGTCATGTCTTGTATAAATCTGAAAGTTTTTAGATTTTATCTTGAATTAAGTTGAAGATAATATAACACAAATAAAAGATACATTATAACAGCTAGTTCAAGAATATAATAACACTTATATAGCCCAAATATTGTTTTTATTATAAAAAATATGTTTGTATCTCAGTAAATGAATTTGAAAATTAATTTGAATGCTCTGAAATACATTAAAAAAAAAAAAACGACATACTTTGCACGTGGGTGAAGCCACTGTTTTAGGTAGGAAGTTAGAAAGTTAAGATATAGACAGGAATTTAATGTACATCTGTAAGCAACAATAAACCATTTCTAATGAAAAAAACCAATCTGAGCGGAGTTCAGTTGATAGTGTTGCTTTTTCAACAATATATGTGTCACATTATGGTAAAATGATTACAACAATATGCGTTTCCATGACAATAATTATTGTTTTAAAAAGATTAAAATAATAAAAACTTAATAACTAAAAATAAATAAAAATGGTTGCCAACGATAATCTTTTTTTTTTATCTTTCAATCTTGTTTAACCTAAAGAACCAGGTTTTCTTCACTATCACAAATATTAATGAGAATTTCAAAAAATGACCTCTCTAAAGTACCACTCAGATAACATTTCCTTTTAAAAGAAATGCTATATTTGATAATCGAAGTAAGCTTTCTAATAAGAAAAATTGTTCACATAAAAAAACAAACATCTTTGTAAAACCAATACATTCCTCACTCCGCTCAAAATCTAAAACTGAAATGGGAAGGCAATGAAGAAAATTGGAGAACTAAGTTCTTTTAAGTCCAACCTCATTATGTCTATTTAGTAAATACTTATTGTATATAAATTATGGTATCATTGTACATTGTCGTTTACTTTTACACTAATGTATTATACTTGGAAACAAGTATTATTTTTATTATAAATTGAAATCATATTATTATGCGAAAAATAAATAAGACAAATAATAAATATTTAAGAAAAAAAAAAAAATGAATTGTACACGACTTAGTTTTTTACACCATATTTGACCTGTAATCTTCTTCTTCGATACGTTCCAAATGAGTACTTAAGAATTCGTCTACAGTATCTGTGTCCCATCGTTCAATCGCTAAAACCTATAAAAAAAAAAAACTTTTAATACTGTAGTTATATAATATTACATTATTTTTTTTGTTGGAAAAATATTGTTTATTTATTGATTTTCTTTTTTAAAATATAACACTTTGAACATTGAACTAATGAAAATTATATTAATTTAATAACTGTACAAAAATTATTTTGCAATTGTTACTACAATAACACCTCATTAAGATACTGCCGCTTAATACATGAATTTTTTCTGGTCCTAGATACCTGTAGATCTTTTTACATTGAAAAAAAAAACACGCTTAATATGTATTTCCGCATAATGCACTCTCTTTTCTGGCCTTTTGTACTTTTATTAAACATTGAAAAAGTTGCATTTCATGTGTCGATAAAAATGGTGCTTATCTAAATTGAAATCCCTTTCCCTCTAAAGATCAAAGGTCATTATAAAGCTCAAAACCATGCATAGATGACTGGAAGTTCGTTCACTGAATAGGTCCAACACCTTAACAACGAGTTTGTTAAACAGAAGTGAAGTGCTTTTATTTGTCGACAATTGCTCTGCTCATTCAAAAAAAAATCAAACATGTTTTTATCCCGATTAAGATTTTAAAACAAAAGTACCGTAAAAAATTGGTACAATAGTATTTATGGGAAATGGAATCAGTAACCGATGAAAAAATCCCCAATATCAATATTTTAGACCTCATTCACTATGTTTCAAACGGGTGGGATGAGATAAACCCTGAAGTGATTAAAAACTATTTCAACAAAGCTGATTGTGGAAACGTCCTACATATTTTGAACTTACGACAAATTTGAAGAGGCTTATCCAGGCTACAAGTATATTGAAAGCTAATTGATAAAGAATGACTCTCAATATTGAAGAAATTATCAACCAGGCTGTAGTTAACAGTAAATCAAATGGTTCAAAGGATAATGCTTTCTACTGCTTCTTTCACTCATGTGTACTGTATAATCAATATCTTCATTGAAACAGGCACTTACTGCAACTGATGATTCGTAAAACTTACTTCTTCTTTGGTACTAACTTTGGTTAGGTCTAGTAGCCCATTTAAAATACTTCAAGAGTATATTAGATGGGATACCGCCAATTATGCCATCCTACATAATGAGTAGTTTTACGATTTCCCCTTCAAGAGTATCTTAAAAAGGTTTTACTGTATACCATACTATAACAAGACATTTTAGTATAATTATTTATTTCAAAAATAATACATCACCTCTTGCACATTTCCATTTTTGTCCATGAGTTTAATTAATGGATCCAATCCACGTACATATCTGACTGTTAAATTCGGGTATTTGTTGGGACGATCACTTTTTATAAATGCTAAAATAATAATGTTATATATAATTATTATAAAAATAGTTATTCCATATTTATACATTGAATTAAAATTTCTCACCAATCTTGTAAACTAGATAATATAATTGGTTAGTATAACAGTTATAAGTATTATTACAAATAAATGTGTGAGAATCTATATTGTAATCAGATTTGATTAAAATAAATATCACAACAGATAACTCAATTTATATTAATTAATAATAATTATATGTATATCTAATAAATTAATATCTTTATTTCTTAATACGTGGTAGTTGTTTATTTATGGTTTTTTTTTTTTTTTAATGTGCCTATATACTTATATACCTATACACAATACTTTAGAAATATCAAGAAATTGTTAATTATTCAGTAATATCATAAACATTTATAATTTCACGGGGTAATTTATTTGTATACTTTATAAAATTATAGAATAGTGTAAAAATGTTTATTAAAACATACCAATATGGCAATATCAATTAATATAAAAAAGTACCTACTGAAGTAATTTAGTTGTTTTATAAAATTTAATATGGTTTCATCATATGCAAACAACAATAATTCCTGATGAGTGTAACTTTATTTGAGAAATGAATGTGAATCATTATGGATTAAGTACATTAAACTGACCCTCTTGTGTTATAAACAAAATGTTAACATTTAAAAAATGTATAATATTTTGCAATTATATAGGGATTTTTTATATTCATTATTTTATTACAGTGCAAGATTGTAATGATCAAACCACATTAAAAACAGTATAAATGGCAATCTATTTATTCACATTAAGTATATGATTGATAAACTTAAAATTAAGTATCACTTTTTGTTTTATATTATATTGTATTATAAATTATTATAATTTAAATTGACCCGGGTTCTGACTTTTTACATAATAAATTCTCATCAAGTGGCCCAACTGTGGATCATCCTTTTTCAATAATCTTCACGCCTCATCTATGTTATCAAATGCATGTATTAATAATTGTAATAATTATAAATATTCAAACATAAATTTTTTTTTTTTTTAAATAAATAAATTCCTAACAAAACAATATAAAAGTTTTGACATTTTACTAAAATAATGACATAAACTTAAAAGTTAAAATAATGTTTTTAATCATAAAATACCTTGTATCTGAGGATAAGCACCAAATTTGCAAGTACACACTTCTAATCTGGCCTTGGCATACACTTTAATTGATTTTTCTTGATCCATTTGACAACATTGTTGGCAGTGATCACTGAAATTATATTAATGTAACATTATTTAAATTTACTGGTTTTTATTTTTGTATTTAATTGTGAGAATGGTTTAAAAAAAACTTGAGTTTTCTACCATTTCTCTACATAAAAATTTTAAAAAATGTCCTCTAAAATGCACCAAGAAGAAAAAAATACTACTAGATATGATTATGTGTATAAATTGTTTTTAATAATTTTAGCAATTTTGGTAGTTAATTATATAACATTTATTTAAAAAATAAATAGGTATTGTAAATTTTGTAACATAGATTATATACAAAGGCGTTGTGGCGTTTTATATGATAGCTATTTGATTTCATATTGCATTGAATAAGTTAGTTTCTTTTAGGAATTTGATCTGAAAGTTTCAGCATTTAGCCTAATGGCCTAATGATGAACATATATTGTGGGAGATGTTCGGTTTGATTCGATCTTGATTGAATATGTGGCATTATTTATAGTGTCTGGCATGTACTTATATAGGTACAGGATTGGAACACGGAAAATTAAAAAAACAAATCTTTCAAAATATTATATTAAATGATTAAAATTATTATTAAATTTGAGTATTTAATAATACACAAATGATTTTTTAATGATCAATAGTCAGTACATAATACTTATTATTGCCTTTAATACAATTTAGTCAATATCAATGTATTACAATAATTCAAGTCAAACATATTATTAATAAAATAACCATACTTTTTCTTAAATAGATATTGATACATCCACTTGGCAGTTTGTATTTACTGAATTTTTATCATTATAATGAGTATTTTAAATATGACAGTTGAGATTTATTCAAATATTAATAAATTAATTATGATTATCTATAATATATATTATCCGTTAAATAAAACATTCCTAATATTTCTTGAAAATAATATTTATACCTCAACAACGCTAACTGGAACTTTTTAAGTTGATCACAAGATGAACACAATAGATTAGCTTTATTGAAACCCAATAATGAACATTCATTAGACGTATAATCACCAAAACAACCGTTTCCCTGAAATATATACAAATTTTATTGAATTTTTCACTTAAAATTTAAAAAACAATATTACTTTAACACTTACAAAAAACATAAACAACGGAATTATTAAAATAATGTTTTGCATTTTGTGTATAGTTTCTAAATAAGTAGTTATTTGATACAAATTAAATTAAATTTGTTTTAAAAATAATAAATGTATACTAACTAAAACGTAAATAATTAATTAACATACAAATTAAACTCATTCAATCAATTAAACATTGCGAATCTATATGAACATTTCCAAATTTCAAATAAATAATAATACTATTTCAATTTTCAAATTTATATAATTTTCTTATTTCTATTATGTTATGCTTATCATTTGTTATCAAATTAAGTATCACCAAGTACGATACCTACCAAATGCCATCAGATTATCAAAAATCTTATTTGTTAAATAACGTTATAAATTATAATACGATTATCATCGCCATGTTAGTTTAAATTTATAATTCTTAATTTAACTGATTTTTTTCTTATTTAATTTAAAATCACCATAACTGATTGGTTATCAACACAGAATTTGTATTTTTCAAAAAGCCCTCTAAAATAATATTACACACACAATTATTTGAAAACGTGTTACATTTTAGAACTTAAACAAACACAAGATTTTACATTTGATGTATTATATTTTTATCGTAAAACGCGTTATATTACTTTTATTTAATTAATTTTGTTTTAATAATCTACATTAATTAATGTTAATTAATTAAGTTTATAAGGTCTTTGTTTACTAACCTCAAAAATGTAGAAATTCCCGTTTACCCCTCCATGGCAAAATAATTCGCGTTTCAATGATAAGAATTATCTTATTGTTTGATGTAGTGTTAGTGCATTATTTAGGCTCTCTTGATTTTCCTTTTCATGTGGATGTTTTAGGCCACGAGAACATTCAACTTAATTTACGGATAGAAGTTAAAGGTAATTTTTTTATTAACACTTATCTTTATAAATAGTATGTAATTATATTCCATCGTATTGTACGATTGATTTGTAGTAATTTGTGTAAAACAAAATTTATAACCACGTGGCCATCTTGTCTTGGTATCATCTAATTCACGACGTCCATTGCCTAACGGTGTGTCCGGATTCATTTCAATTACTAACTATAATTAATTTTCTTTTAGTAAAATGCAGATCTTCGTGAAAACGTTGACCGGGAAGACGATTACTCTCGAAGTAGAGTCATCGGATTCCATCGAAAATGTGAAGGCCAAAATTCAAGATAAAGAAGGTAAACACGTTAAAAATGTATAATAATTCTTATACTGATGTAGTATTTGTTTTTTAAAGTAGATATTATAATATTCAACATTTTTCTATTGATTAAATCTGAAAAAAAAAATTGTTTGTATCACTCGTTAAATCTGATTTAAAATGTACATTTTTATTAATTTTAAATGTTTAGTTTGGTTAAATAATTGGATTTAATAGACCTAAATTTATTTAAAGGCTCAACGTTTAGCTTGAAAGAAGGTATCATGTTGATTTTCAAACTAAAATATTGTTATAATATAATTTAATAATTTTTATTTTATTAGACATTAAACATTTAAATTAAATAATACTATTAATTTAAAAAAAGTGCTGTAAAAATGTATTCCCCGTTACTTGTGTAATTCATGTGAAGAATAAGACTATGTTCAGTGTATTCATAACGCAATTCTCTCGGATATTTTTAAATTCTCGCATCCGTTTTAATATAATTTTAAATCTATGGATACAGTCTCTTGGTGCTCTTTGTTTTATTATCTATAATCATAATACATTTTTACTAATATGAAGACACCCGTGAGATGAATTATCAGATCAAATAGAAGTTTCGGGCGAGGGTGGCCAACCCAAAATAGTTAATTTGACAGAGAGAAAAAAAAACATTTTTACTGCTCTGCTTTTATAGATGATTTATAATTTTTTTCAAGTAAGCCATTTTGAGCCTTTTTACATAGACACATAATACCTACATTTATTATTTTAAAATTACTATTCAAATGTTTTAGGTATTTCTTTCTAATTATATATTTATGAACTTAGGTGTGTCTTAATTGATTTTAAATGAATCTAATACTTATATAAATTACGTACTTTAATATTTGATTTACTTTAGTTGACTGAAATTATCAGTTATTGTATTGATATTTCATGGTATATCATCAAAATATTTGAATTAAATTGAATTTTGTAGCAATTATATAATAACATTAAATACTATTTATTTGATAATTATTTTTTTTTTCATTTAACTACAATTAAGGCAACTATTATCACTTGATTTTTATTTCTTAAAAATAAAATTGAAGAAAAAGGTACCTAAATATAATATTTTATTTAATATTAAAATTTTTGATGTTGCCATGTTTTTCAGTACCTACAATTTATGTAGAATATAAATTGATTATTTTTATTCAACTTTGATTTTATTGTAATGCCCAGTTTATACAGTATGTAGTTGCGTAGTACTTGTCACTTACACTAATACCTAAAAATAGGGCATGTGGAAGAGAAATACGGGTGAATAATATCAAGTTTTATTACTAACAACAAGTAGCTACTCTCTCCACGACTACACTATTCTTGTGACTGCCAGTTGGTACTTAGTAATTGTGATAAAAATTGTAGAGTTGTACACTTATACATGTGGCCAAGTAGTCTTAATACAAATGGCAAGTATTATTCATCGGGTAAACCAAGCATAAGTATTATTTACATGGCATTCATGTTGCTAAAATAACTGATCAAAATATATAACCTTTATTTTACTTTCCCACACTCGTTTTATTGTGAACTATTACTGTATGAAAAAAAATATATCAATATGTATACATTTTACAATTTAAAGAACAAAACAAAATTTAAATAAATATTCCTATTCTAAAAAATATTAATATTATTTATTTAAATAAAAAATTACTTAGATATATTTTGATGTAGAATTGACAAAATATTATAACCTCTAATGTGATTTCTAAATAAATACTTAAAAATGGCCTTCATCATTTTTAGGTATTCCTCCTGATCAGCAACGTTTGATATTTGCTGGAAAGCAACTTGAAGATGGACGTACTCTTTCGGACTACAATATTCAAAAAGAATCTACCCTCCATTTGGTTCTTAGACTGAGAGGAGGTGCAAAGAAACGTAAGAAGAAGAATTACTCTACACCCAAAAAGATCAAGCACAAGAAGAGGAAGATTAAGTTGGCTGTATTGAAATTTTACAAAGTAAATAATTGTTTTTTTGGGTTTTTTTTTTATTTTTTATTATTATTGCCTTATATTTTATTTTTTATTATTATTGCCTTATATTTTAATTAATTATTTAATTTGTTTTAATTTAGGTTGATGAAAATGGAAAAGTTATCCGTTTGAAGAAAGAATGTACATCTGAAAACTGTGGTCCTGGTGTATTCATGGCAGATATGCCAAACAGACACTATTGTGGCAAATGTACTGCTACTTTACCTAAATAGACACAACTATTGTATGTTTTGAATACATAATATAAAACATTTTAAAAAAAAAAAGTTTAATTTTTTTTTTTAATACAATTTTACAATGATTCTTTCAATGTCCAACAGTTCGAATAGTTATAATCTGAATATGTACTATAGGTAGAGTGTTCAGGTATAAATTACTAGATTAAAAAAGTGATTATTATTTTTTATTGAAAAAACTTCTATTTTTAATAAACTATGTAAAATATTATCTTTTAATGCAAGGATAAAAGTTAGTCACCTTTTAAGTTTCTTCGTACAATTTTATAAAAAATAATTATTGATATTTATTATGAAATCTTCATATATATATTATTATAATTTGCTATGTGGCGGAAAAGAAATTTGAAGTCATATAAGTTTAACCTAATACTATCAAAGGTTGGCATACTTTTAAACAATTATTTCACTCATAATTATTTATTTTTAAATTATCGTTAAATTCTTTAATAAAGCCTGGTTGTTAACCTATCATAATATTTTAATTATTACCTACTACTATTGATGTTAAATAAGTGTATTTTTTGTCAATGGAAGTAACTGTTTAGTCACTTTTCTCACTTATTTTCAAGTCATTGACCACTTCCATCCCTGTTTAATGATATATAAAAAATATAATTATTAGGTAAAGCTTAAAAAATAATAAATCAGTATTTTTTTTAAATTTTATCACAGTTTTACAAAAAAAAATTTTTTCTAATAATAATATGATTTCTTTGAAGGTTAAAGTTTATCCGAAAACAAATTTTACTCGTGGAGATCAACTGACTAACCTGCTGCTAACAAATTACAAATACTATGTAGAAATGTGGACACAAAAAGAAAGATAAGTGAAAATACAGGGTAGTTTTTTTATAAACCAGTAATTTTTCTTGAAGGATTTTAAGTAAATTTGTTAAATAGTTTTTTTAATCATTGTGGAATTGTTTGGGCATTATTTTAAAATCATTTTTAATTTTTTACCTCCACTACGTATACCTTAAATAATTATATACATTTTAACACTAATATTTGATTTACCGTTCATAAGTTTAAAGTTTGAACCAGAAGAGTAGGGAAAAATAATAAATTGCATAAAATCTATTTTCAAATGATTAATGTATAACTTCCATATTCCTTCACTCTAACTTTGTATGATAAATTGATATTAGTGTTATGAATATTAAAATTTCTAGAAAAATATTTTCCATTCAAATCTGTGTTACTATTTTAAAAACAAAAGTACTTATTTAAGGTATATGGAGTGGGTTTAAAAATTTAAAAATGGTTTTATAATTAAGCTTAAATGATTAAACAAGAACAGATGACACATTCACTTAGAATCCCTCTAGAAAAGTGCTGATTCATGATAAATCATTCTATATACACGTATTGTAACTTATTAATTTGCAACTCTTCCGACAGGCCCATAGCCTGGGGGAGCCATTCTTAGCTTCCTAGTATTTTTATCAGAAGATGGCTATTTTAAAATTAATCATTATATTGGAAAAAAATGTTATGGATTATGATATTGTTTTTTTGTAATACCTCCCTATAACTTTTCATTCCTCTCCACCCTCTGAAAAATTGATCTGGGTCCATAGTCGTTTATAGGCTTTTATGACAACAACCAAAAATAACGTTAATGTTCGAATACAATACATATACTTGGACCTATATATTAGTTATCATATTGCTATATAATATCATTCTACAAATTATATAATTTTTTAATACGGGACAATTTAGTATCCTGTATAATATGGAACAGTTTGCCACTCTAAGGGTCTATAGGTCTAGATTTGTATACAATCTAAGGGCATTATAAAAGCCAATCAAATGATCTGTTTGTACATTTAAATAAATAATTTTTATTTACAATTATTTTATGAATTGCAGCAAAATATACTAAAGTACCAAATGCACAGTAATTTTTAATGAAATGATTGATTGTAACTTAACAATCAAAATCGTTTAAGAACCTCTAATAACATTTTGAGAATTTGATTTTTTTATTTAAACTTAACACTTAAAATGTTTAAAACTGTTATTATTTAACATTTTACTTAAGGAGATTGCAAGTCGTGTTTTTCTCTCTTTGTCTTGTAAATGTGCAACATAGAAATTTAGAAGTGTTTATTTTTATTTATATGTTAATGTTTAACCTAACTAAATCATTTTAATATTTTCTAAGTAGTCTTAATAAACTTTAATTTTAAATTATTTGTTTAATTATAAAAAGAGCTCGGGACTTAAAGCACTTTAAATCCACAAAAAAAACAATAGATGAGTTTAAAAGTTCTAACAGCTCTAAGTTATTAAGTATAATTTTTTAATTTTATAAAACATGATTAACACAAAGCAATCTTTTTTTATAAAGTGTAGGAGTGTGTTTAAAAAAATGACTATGTTAATCATTTCTTCTGGACTGTTAGAAAATTGTGTTAAATAAGTTAGAACCATTAAACGAGAAGGGGGGGGGGGTTAAATCCAACTGCAGTTTTTTTACTTTTTAAATTTTGTTGATGTTTTTAGACTCTTGTTTGTAGAATAAAGTACTTTAAGTCCCAAGTCCCTTAAACTTATAACCTTGGTATGATTGCGGTTCACATAATTTGTAAGGGTCATTTATTAACATAATGACCCTAAATTGATCTAAGGAAAAAAAACCATTACAATAAACTTAATTTAAAAAATTATATAGTACAAAGTAAAATTACTTCTAGAATGATTTATCAAATTCATTAGCATTAAAACTAATTAATATAATGTTATTATCTAATGGAATACACCTACAGCAAATTTTGTTAACGAGTTAATTTTAATAATCAAATCCTAATGTTTTTCCACTGTACCATTGATATTGCTATTAATAGAGATTATTTTTAAGTAATTTAAACAAATCACCATTAGAATCTGAATTTGTCAAGGTGAGGTTCACATTTTTTTTTTGTTTATTAAAAGTAACATCATTAGACATCCTTAATAGATATGTCTAATAAAGAGATTGTTAATATTGTTGATAAAATAATCAATTATATTCCAGATACTTTTTTTATAGATTGAAGTTTAATTTATTGAATAGTGTGTTCAATAATTGTAACAAAAGACAACATAAACTAAGAAGGTACCTGTTTAAGATATGTGATACCTCTCTTATCTATGATTAGGTTCCTAATAAATATAGGCCCAACTAAGCTTACCCCTCTTCCTTTATTTGCTCCAATAACATATTTTTCAGTTATAGAACTAAAAATTAAAATTTTTAATCTTAATTGATATCATGTCAAATATGACCAGCAATATATTTAATGCTGTGTAAGTCTTTATTTTGGTTGATTATAGATAACCCGAATCAAAATCATGACTGGTTCAAATTTTTATTTGAAAATTTAAATTAATATCATAGATTAATAATTATGAATGATTATGAATTTGTGTATGGAATATATTTAGATAGTACATATTATAGTAAGTACCATTTATGAATGTTCTACAGTTTATTGGATTTTGATGTTTTTTTATAACTAAATAAATTAACCTAAAGGCTCCCAATCCATTTTTCTGAATTGGCATCAAAAAACAAAGGAGAGCTTTTTTAAATAGTTTAAATTTAGTTGGTGCATCATTGTTTGATTTTCTTTGCAGTTTTTTTAATAAATTGTGAAAAAAGAAGAAAGTTTATTCCAGCAATAACAGTTTCACTACTTGTTTAATTTTTTTGTTATAATTCAGTTAAAAATAATCGTTGAAATTTAGACAAAATAATTAGGTACATTAGTCTTTTCTGATAGTGGTACTTACATTTTTGAGCTGTTTATAGGCATTTGATATTTAGAAATAATAATTCCCATGCCTATAAGATGTATCTTATATCCTTTAACTGCATTTAACACAATTTTTGTTTGTTTTAAAATAGATACCAATTAGTTTTTAAATAAAAATGATAAATTGACTTATTATATACCTACCTATATATTATAATATGTAGGTACTTATATTGATAAATCCAAATTGTTTTTAAAAATATTGGGTCAATCAAAGCTCACCCCACCTTGACCAATGCCACGACAACAAATTACTAGGCCCATGTACAGTTGTAGTTATATTGGATTTGGGCACCTTCCAAGCTATGCTGCATTAACACTTTTTGCAATGGGTTGATGAACAAAAAAGAAAATCTGATACAGTAATAAGTAGGTACCTACTGCTTGTGGATGGCGCTGTTATAGGTGGCAAGGTAGGATAAAGTTTGGTAGTAGGTACCTACATATTTAATTTTTATCAACTATAAACCATTGCTAACGAAATATGATTCTGAACTAAGTTTAGTTATACCTACATGACGTTTTAAAATGTCTGTATAAAACCTATACCTAATACAGTTTTATATTATAAATACAATAAAATAAAAAATCGACTAAATATTAAAACAAAAATGTTTAAAATCTTCATTCGCCTACATTGTACTTTATTCTTCCTTAGGTACTTATTGTGTAGGCACCAGAGTTTAATTAAAATACTCAAACAATTATAATAATTCTAATATTGGCATAAATTAGTGGATGTTTTAATAACATGATATATTTCAAAATTAATCGCCAACGACCATACCACGTTGAATACACCAGTTCTCGTCCGATCACTGAAGTTAAGCAACGTCGGGCGTAGTTAGTACTTGGATGGGTGACCGCTTGGGAACACTACGTGCCGTTGGCATTTTTTTTATTCATGCCTGTAAATATTATATACGAAATTTTAATAAAATAATTTTTTTTATTCTCGCAAAGATCAAAAATTCTTACTGAATAAATTATTTACATATAGATTTTTTTCATAATTTGACCTTAAAACTCAAATAAATAATTACAGTATTACGCTCCTTATTTTTTCTACCGCTAATTACAATTTATAATAAACCTCGTGTTCAATTTCCGAGAATTTCTATTTGGTTACCTACCAAATAAAAACTTAAAAAAAATGCTTATAAATAGCTCGAAAATGGCTAACGTGTTTAGAAAATGTTACTACGTCTAGAAAATGCTAGTATACTATAAATATTCTGTGACAATACTTCAGATTTCTACGATAATATTCAACCAATTTTCAACGAAAGCCGAAAAAACGAATCATTAATGGTCTGAAAATATTCCGGCGTGTATTTCCTACGGTTTTTCCCAATCATTATAAAGAATGACTTACGAGATTTTGATGGGTAGGTGGCAAATATTGTTTTAACTTTATACTAGTATAAATACATGTTTTATAAATCGGGTACATTGAAAGGGCACATATACGAAACAAAATAATAATTATACGAATGTGTTTAATTTATTACAATAATTTACGTGTATCAAGGCCAGTGGTGGATTTAGGGGAAGGCTAAATAAGTTATAGCCTAAGGCGGATTTTTTTTTTTAGAATTAAGAATCATCAGATAAATTTATTTCGGTATATTGTATTTAAATTTACGATATAAACATAAACAAAAATAATTTTAAAAAATTATAATAGTATGTACGATGTACCCAGTAATAATATTACAATTATTATTAAAATTTTAAAATACTTCATGCAGAGGCGTACTCGGGATCAAAATGTAGCACAAGCCTGATTATAATTATTTTAATTTATATAAGTACACATTATTTCTTTTTTTGAAAACTTTTTATAATATTTTTAAATCTAAATAGTTTTATTACATTTTAAACAAATTGTTGAAGTAATTACATAATCAGATAATGTACTATTAATATTCTTCTGTCTATTTTTTTATCATTATCCATAAAAATATTTAAATATTTGAAACCATGATTTGAGTTTTTTTATAAAAGTTATTAAAAAATTCATATGAACGTAAAGTTGAAGAACTGTTATTGTATATAGCGTCAATTAAATTTAAACCTTTTTTAATTATATCGCGAATAGAAGATTGTACATTTTTTGAAAATATGCTTATAGTTGAAAAAAGGTTATCAAGAAATGTTAAAACAATTAATACATCAAATGATCGAAATTGGTTTAATAATATTTTGGCTTCTGCGGCATCTTTTTGATTCTGAGTAGAGCAAAGAAGTTTATAGTTTTACAAAGATATTTATTTTTATTATTTTATCAGTGCGCAACTTTTAATGATAGCAATGTTTCTAAAAGGAAATTTCACTAAGAAGGTACTTTAGAGAAGTTATTTTTTTTTATTTTCCCTAGTGTTTTCCCAGAAAATGTGAAAAACCGGGATAAAACATGGGAAAATCGTAAGAAAAGTGGGTAAATTGGTACAACATTTAACAAATTTTCTATCAACTGAACTCCGCTCAGAATCGTTTTTTCGTAAGCAATGGTTTATCGTTGCTTACAAGTATACATTAAATTCCCGTCTATATCCTACCTTCCCAACTTTCCATCTACATTAGTGGCTGCACCCGTCCCCATTATCTTAACTTTCTTTTCTTTTTTTTTCAACTTCTTCACAATTTGAAAACAGAGTAGGCCCGGGCCTACCAGGCCTACCCATTGGGCACACTACTGACTTTATGTGTAATATAATCACTGTTAACTGCTAAGTGTTAGTAATATTAGTCTGTACATATTAGAAACATCCAAATAAGGGTATTTTCCAAAAATATAACAGTTATTTGTTATTTTCGGAAAAATACTGTTCCCAATGTTCCTATTGTCATTATACCCGCATGTCACCATCTGGATCACCGCAACATTGCCTACGATCGGCGACCTCGTGCGATCATCGTATTTTAACTACTGATAATATCATGATCAAAAATATCAATAAAATAAACCTTTAATTTCTTACATTAAAATGTATTTGAATTTTGGCACTTGACGAGTGACAACAGGAGTAGCCTGCGGTGTATTCGTGTGGACTGGATGGCAGTTAAAAAAGTAATTAAGTACTTTAATTACTTACC